AAAGGTGGTTAGGCTCCACTACAACAACATGGTCGAACATACGAAACCACATAACCGCCTTTCCAACATCCCGTTCTCTCTCTCTCTCTCTCTCTCTCTCTCTCTCTCTCTCTCTCTCTCTCTCTCTCTCTCTCTCTCTCTCCTCTGTGTGTGTGTGTGTGTGTATTCCATCGGAGTAAGAGGAACTGAGCGACGAAAAGGTGGTTAGGCTCCACTATAATAACATGGCCGAACATACGAAACCACATAACCACTTTTCCAAGATCACTCTCTCTCTCTCTCTCTCTCTCTCTCTCTCTCTCTCTCTCTCTCTCTATCTATCTATCTATCTATCTATCTCTCTCTCTCTCTCTCTCTCTCTCTCTCTCTCTCTCTCTCTCTATCTATCTATCTATATATCTATCTATCTATCTGTGTGTGTGTGTGTGTATTCCATCGGAGTAAGAGAGAGAGATGTTGGAAAGGTGGTTAGGCTGCACTACAACAACATGGTCGAAAATACGAAACTGCATAACCACCTTTCCAACATCTCGTTCTCTCTCTCTCTCTCTCTCTCTCTCTCTCTCTCTCTCTCTCTCTCTCTCTCTCTCTCTGTGCGCGTGTGTGTGTGTATTCCATCGGAGAGAGAGAGAGATGTTGGAAAGGTGGTGAGGCTCCGCCACAACAACATGGCCGAACATACAAAACCTCATAACCACCTTTCCAACATCTCTCTCTCTCTCTCTCTCTCTCTCTCTCTCTCTCTCTCTCTCTCTCTCAGAGTGCGAGGAACTGAGCGATTGGAAGGTGGTTAGGCTCCACTACACCAATATGGCCAAACATACGAAACCGCATAACCACCTTTCCAACATCTCTCTCTCTCTCTCTTTCTCTCTCTCACTCTCTCTCTCACACACACTCTCACTCTCTCTGTCACACAATAAACATTTCATCTTTCCCACTCTCTCATTTGTCGGCTAAAGGTTACAAATACTGCCCATGGGACATCACTACACCAGTGAGGATCATTCTATCCTATAAAAGTGTATATTCACATGTGTAAGTGACAATATTTGGATTATTACAATTCAATCATTGTTTAAGTGACTTCAATAGCAACATCAACCCTAGACACAAAGAAATCGAGTCATACTTTGTTTTACAAAAAGCAAAAAATTATATGATTGAAGTCAATATATTCTCTCTCTCTCTCTCTCTCTCTCTCTCTCTCTCTCTCTCTCTCTCTCTCTCTCTCTTTATATATATATCTAAGCGGCCTCCTGATGAGTCGGTAAAACTCCGATGAAACAATCTGTCACAGCCCCTCGTTTGTTGTCATCTTCTCCCTCTCTGCCTGCGATTTACCGGACACTTCTCTTTGACGGCGATATATATATATCGTCAAATAGAACTGCCCGGTAAACCGTAGGCAGAGAGGGAGAAGAGGACAACAAACGAGGGGCTATATGTATATATGTATATATACACTGATAATACACAGATATACACATATATGTTCTGCAAAAAAAAAAAAAAAAACATTCAACTACTCACAGATCTGCCAATAGGGCGTATATTACATCCCCGCCCTGCCTGCTCCTACCATCTTCAGCCGAATAGAACGCCCGCTCATTAGAGCTGTATTTTCCACAACTTTCGGTCCAGAAGCAGCCATAATGACCGGGCATTCTATTCGGGTGAAGACTGCAGGATCAGAACAATACCGCAACAAACATCGCATCATCCCCCCACCCTGCCTGCTCCTTCCTCCTTCAACCGAATAGAGCGTCCGGTCATTATACCTGTATTTGGCCCAATTTTCGATCCAGATGCGGCGATAATGACCGGGCGTTCTATTCGGGTGAAGACAGCAGGATCAGAACAAGACCGCAACAAACGTCGTCTATTTACGCCAATCTATGGTCTAGGTGGTCTCGTTTTTTTTTTTTTTTTTTTTTTTTTTTGTCTCCATTTCCTTTCCGCTAAATCTCACCAGGGGCGAGGTCCCACTAGCAAAGAGGATTGGATAAGTGCCCTGAATGTGGACCAGAGATGTAGAAAAGCAGTTCAATCTTGATTTTGTGCACCTTTCCCCAGAAGAGTCCAGATTCAGGCCTGCAATCCAATCCTCTTTGCTACCGGGACCTTGGCCCAACACCGTGACATCTTTCTTTTTTATTGCTTTTTCTTCTTTTTTTTTTGTCGTCTCCATGTCCTTTCCGCTAAATCTCACCAGCACAGTGGCCTTTTTTTTTGCTTTTTCTTTTTTTTGTTGTTGTCTCCATGTCCTTTTCGCTAAATCTCTCGTCGTCATCTTCGCATCATCATCACAAAAACTGTTCTCCTATTATCATCACCGTCGTTCGATCGCTTTCATCATCGTAATCATCGTACTCAGCATCAGCATCAATATCCTCCTCCTCCCCCTCCTCTTCCATCACCATCACCGTCACTATCCTCCTCCTCTTCCTGCATCACCACCACTGGGCGGGTACAATCGACGATTGTTGGCATCAGAAGTTAACAAAGCACTGTTCTTCGTGTTCAATGTTGCACACTGGCTCCTCTACTCGACAGCAGTGCATCACAAAAATAGCACACAACCTTATATCATTCCTAAGACCAACATCCGCCCATATAGCCTTTGGGGAGAGGGGGAGGAAGGGGGAGGGTGGGGGGGGGGGGGGCGGAGGAAGAAGAGATACGGCAGCGCTGGAGGAAAACAGCGGGAGGCAGACAACAGTTCGACGATCAGTAATGAACCGCGTATAGACAGACTCTCTCTCTCTCTCTCTCACACACACACACCTGTCTCTTATACACATCTAGATGTGTAAAAGAGAGGGGGGGGGGGGGGGGGGGGGGGGGGGGGGGGGGGGGGGGGGGGGGGGGGGCGGAGGAAGAAGAGATACGGCAGCGCTGGAGGAAAACAGCGGGAGGCAGACAACAGTTCGACGATCAGTAATGAACCGCGTATAGACAGACTCTCTCTCTCTCTCTCTCACACACACACACACACACACACACACACACACGCCGAATGAAACACAGCACGCATAGAAAATGTGCCCGGCCCGAAATATGACTCTGACGAAGCGTCCAGCGATCCCGACCTGACGAAGACAGACAATCAAAGCCCCTCCTGCCATTATTTGCTCATGATCTCTAATTTTGACACTTTTTCCTAGTATACATAGAAAAGTAAAGAATGAGGAGAGGAGGAAAAGGAAACCTAGGAGGAAGAGGACAAGGAGGAAGAGGGAAGGAGGAGAGGAAGGAGGACTCCTGCGTTCCAGCCTGCAGCAGGAAGGTGGAGAAGGAGGAGGAGGAGGAGGACAAAGAGGAGGAGACAAGCACGTGACTAGCAGAGATGATGGCGCTGACGATGCATGACAAAGAGCCTATGGCCAGCGGGCCACAATCGCGGTGTACGAGAAGGGAAGGGTGGCACGTGTCCACGAGGGATCAACCAACAAAGCGAAACCCAAATAGCACACAAGCGACATGGCGGTAGTAAGCTACGTTATGTCAACGTAGGCCGAGGATGATAAGCAAAAATAAGGAGACGAAAAAAAAAAAAAAAAAAAAAAAACAGTAAGGAAAATAACATTTTGTTTTAACGCATTTACCACACTGAACTTGTCCGACAGCATGAGACAAAGATACCACCTACTACAGTATTAACATTACCAAAACATTAAAAAAAAACGAAAACAAAACAGTATTAACATCACCGCCGCTTAAAGCACGTGCTGCCGAGGCGGGCACCATCATTGCATGGAATGAGCGATTAAGCCTTTCAATGCTTTCACAGTTTTCCTGAACAGGCGGGAGTCTCGAAAATAGGGGGGCGTCGAAGAGAAGACTTGACCCTTCTTCACAAACACCTGGCTATAAGAGAGCTGGACGAGATTGAGCAGAATTTCAACTGCGCACAGATCTGCCAATCAGACGTATGTTACATCTCTGCCCTGCCTGCTCCTACCGTCTTCACCCGAATAGAACGCCCGCTCATCAGAGATGTATTTCGCACAAGTTTGGGTCCAGAAGCAGCCATAATGACCGGGCATTCTATTCGGGTGAAGACTGCCGAATCAGAACGCAACAAACATCGCGTTATCCCCGCCCCGCCTGCTCCTCCCTCCTTCACCCGAATAGAGCGCCCGGTCATTATATCTGTATTTGGCCCAATTTTTGGTCCAGATGCGGCGATAATGACCGGGCGTTCTATTCGGGTAAAGACGGCAGGATCAGAACAAGACCGCAACAAACGTCGTCTATTTACGCCAATCTATGGTCGAGGTCGTCTCGTTTTTTTTTTTTTTTTTTTTTTTTTTNTATTTACGCCAATCTATGGTCGAGGTCGTCTCGTTTTTTTTTTTTTTTTTTTTTTTTTTTGTCTCCATTTCCTTTCCGCGAAATCTCACCAGGGGCGAGGTCCCAATAGCAAAGAGGATTGGATAAATACCCTGAATGTGGACGTGTTAAGAGCAGAGATGCAGAAAAGCAGTTCAATCTTGATTTTGTGCACCTTTCCCCAGAAGAGTCCAGATTAAGGCCTGCAATCCAATACTCTTTGCTACCGGGACCTTGGCCCAGCACCGTGACATCTTTCTCTTTTTTTGCGTTTTCTTTTTTTTGTTGTCGTCTCCATGTCCTTTCCGCTAAATCTCACCAGCACCATGGCCTTTTTTTTGCTTTTTTTTTGTTTTGTTTTATGTTGTCTCTATGTCCTTTTCGCTAAATCTCTCGTCGTCATCTTCGCATCATCATCACAAAAAACTGTTCTCCTATTATCATCACCGTCGTTCGATCGCTTTCATCATCGTAATCATCGTACTCAGCATCAACATGAATATCCTCCTCCTCCCCCTCTTCCATCACCATCAACGTCACTATCCTCCTCTTCCTGCATCATTACCACTGTGCGAGTACAATCGACGACTGCTGGCATCAGAAGTTAACAAAGCATCATTCAATGTTGCACACTGGCTCCTCTACTCGACAACAGCGCATCACAAAAATAACACAACCTTATATCATTCCTGAGACCAACATCCCCCCATACAGCCTTTGGGGAGAGGGGGAGGAAGGGGGAGGGTGGGGGGGGGTGTGAGGAAGAAGAGATACGGCAGCGCTGGAGGAAAACAGCAGGAGGCAGATAGCAGTTCGACGATCAGTAATGAGCCGTGTATGGACAATTCTTTCTCTCTCTCTCTCTCTCTCTCTCTCTCTCTCTCTCTCACACACACACACACACACACACACACACACACGCACACACACCGAACGAAACACAGCACGCATAGAAAAGGTGCCCGCCCCGCAATATGACTCTTACGAAAGATCCAGCGATCCCGACCTGACGAAGACAGACAATGAAAGCCCCTCCTCCTGCCATTATTCGCTCATGATCTCTAATTTTGATACTTTTTCCTAGTATACATAGAAAAGTAAAGAATGAGGAGAGGAGGAGGAAAAGGAAACCTAGGAGGAAGAGGACAAGGAGGAAGAGGGAAGGAGGAGAGGAAGGAGGATTCAAAGGACAAGGAGAAGGAAGAGGAGGAAGACGAGGGAGAGGAGGCAGCCGAGGAAGATGAGGAAGACGAAAAGAGGAGGATGAGACCATGAGTAGGAATGAGGACGAAGAGGAGGAAGAGGAAGAGGGGAAAGAGGAGGAAGAGTTTGGCGCAGGACACTCTTCGTAAACTCCGCTTCCTGCGTTCCAGCCTGCAGCAGGAAGGTGGAGAAGGAGGAGGATGAGGAGGAGGACACCGAGGAGGAGACAGGCACGTGACTAGCAGGGATGATGGCGCTGACGATGCATGACGAAGAGCCGATGGCCAGCGGGCCACAATCGCTGTGTACGAGAAGGGAAGGGAGACACCACGTGTCAACGAGGGATCAACCAACACATCGAAACCCAAATAGCAGACAAGCGACATGGCGGTAGTAAGCTACGCCATGTCAACGTAGGCCGAGGATGATAAGCAAAAATAAGGAGACTAAAAAAAAAAAAAAAAAAAAAAAACAGTAAGGAAAATAACATTTTGTTTTAACGCATTTACCACACTGAACTTGTCCGACAGCATGAGACAAAAAAACCACCTACTACAGTATTAACATTACCAAAACAT